AAAAAATTATTTATATCTTGAATATTAAAAATTCTAAATATAAAGAAAATAAATTAAGCCAAAGTTTATAAGATGTGAAATTTCAAAAAGAATATAAATTTTTAAAAATTCTAAAAATACAAAAATAAGTAAAAATATTAAAATTAAGAAGTAGTATCAATTTATAATTTTTTTTTAAAATCAAAGCCAAAATATCAATATTTCATAAATAAAAAAAAATGTGGAACATCTTAATTTCACCACAAGACTTTTTGCCATGGACATACATATTTATTCTAATATTTACCTATATGATTAAGTAAAAGTTGATAAAAGAAAATTTATTTCATAATATTTTCTAAAGATGCTTCTTAGAAGATTCATAGATACTATTTTGACTTTACATGTATTTGTAGTTGATTGATAGATTAGAAACTTAGTCAACTAATTAACCACGTATTGGTAGCTTGTGAAATAAGTTAATTATGTGGCACACATATAGAAAACTTGCCGTACAATTTAAAATATGTATCTTGCAAAGTCTAACACATTTTGGAGGTCTTATAGGACATTGCCATGTAGCTTCTAATTAACAGTATACATGGAGGCAAGAGTAAAGCCTTCTTTATTCTTGTCTATACCTTTCTAATTCTTAGTCTTGTTTTAAGACTTTCTACTCTTCTTGTCTTTGGCAATAGCCATTTTAATTTAATATTATATCATCTTTGAGTAATTTTTTAATCTTTTTGAGTGACACAAGAGTGTATTGACATTTTAATGCTTTAAGGTTCATATTATTAACAATTTGATAAGTATGCTAATTTATTGTTCTTTTCTTATTTTAAAAGTGTATGGATTATTCCACTTCTATTGTTGTATTTTGAAGGTTGTAGATTATCTACCTTTAAATAAACTATTTAATTTTTTAACATCAATTTTTTTCTTATAGAAAATAAATTATCCCTCTTTGTAGAAATTTTCATTTGTTATTAGAAATTAAAATTTATCCTCCTCTAATTTGACTTGTAAATTTGTTAAGTTATTTGAAATAGAAGGAAAAATCATAGATGCAACATTTGGTAGAAATAAGAATAGATTTGCAACTATCATAGATCTTCATGAACTTATTAATACTCTTAGAGTGAAAATTTCATGCATCACAAGTGCCAACTATAGAAATACTAATTTTATACCTATGGAAGAAGTTTAGAATCTATAGCAAGAAATTAAGTAGTTGAAGGAAGCAAGTAGATTGATCTCACAACAAAATCTAAGAATTTTTGCTTTTATAGGTGTGATGGAGATATGGATTAGTATATTCAATAAGTTTGATGGAATGAAATCAAAATTTTGAATATTTTTATAACAAGTCAAGTATTATCTAAAGTTATATCTCTTCCAATAACTTGGTGAATTTACTCAAGTTGGATTTATAGGCGCATTTCTATTTGGAAGTGCTCTTTCTTGATTTGAATTTATTCCTAGAAGTGTTTATAGTTACATTTTGAGATAGTAATCAAAAAAGAGTAGTAGAAATCATGCTCTTATTGTTACAATAAGAATCACAGTCACCTATCATATATGTTATTGAATTCCAAAACCTTGCTTATGACATGGACTAGAATGACAAAGCCTTTATCAATTAATTTTGATATAGATTAAAAGATAACGCCAAAGATTTATTATTGATAATATCAAAAGCAAAAACTTTGAAATAATTTATTGCTCAAGCCATTGCATACAATAATTGATCATTTGAAAGGTGTGAAGAACAAAGACTTGGCTAGAGAAGAAAAAGTCAAGTAATGATGATAGTTCCTAAGTTTTTAGAAACTTATTTATCAAGGCCAAAATCAATACAAATTAATACAATATGTTTTAAATTCTTCATTGAAAAAGAAAAGATTCATCATTAAAAAAAATTGTGTTTATATTATAGAGAAGTTAATCTCACTACTCAATATTCTTCAAAGAAGCAATACAATCACAAAATGATGATCATGATTGCCAAAGAAAACAATGTATCAAAAAATAAGTTTTTCCAACTACTATAGTGATTGTGCAGCTAGAATCATATGCAACATTTAATAAAGATCCTATTCTCTCCTTAGGTCCCTCACCTTGTTTTACAATAGATGTGTATTTAGGCCCTAAAAATCATAAAGTCTTTACATTATTAGATTGAGGAGCTTTGGCCTATTTTATAAACAAGACTTTGTTAAGAAATAAGAAATATTTTCAGTCAAGAAAACTAAATCCGTATGTATAGAAGTTGTAGATGGTCATTTTTTTGTCTTTTGGAGATGTTATTCATGAAACTATTTCTCTAAAAGTAGCAATTAAATAATATAAATAACTTACTATACAAGTTTTTAATTTGCAAGATATAATAATTTTGACTTAGACACCCATTTTTTATGGTAAAAAGATATCAAATAATATTTCTAGCCAATATCAAGATTTCTAAGATATTTTTCAAAAGATGAATGTAGCTATTCTTTCAAAGCATCGATCCTACGATTGTACAGTTGATCTACAAGAAGGAGCTCAACTACCATTTGGACCAATCTATAGCTTATTCCAAAATGAATTGAAGTAGAGCAAAGATGACACAAGTAATTGACACCTCATCTTCACAATGAATATTATTTTCTTTATAATATGATAGTAGGAAAAAATAAAGACAAAATAATGTTAAAAAAGATTAATGGTGGTAGATACTTGAAGGAAAAAAGAATGTATGAAGATCATACTGAAAAAACTCACTACTTCATTAGAGAATATAATACAAATTTGCATGAACATGTACAATTCATTACATAGGCTTAAAATATAGAATTTATTATTTTAAGTCTTTTATATCTTTAATATATTTAAAAATTAGTTTTAAAAAATAATAATAATTAAAAATAAATATATTATTTTTATAGTATGAACATATTTAAATATTATTTGTTTATTTATTTTTATATATTATATAAAGAATTATTTTGTAATTTTAAAAACCTCATATTTCTTATATTATAGACTTAATGAAGATAATGAAGATGCTATTAGGATCAAAAGAATAAAAATAAAAAAATGAATAAATTTAAATTTAATTTAAAAATAAATAAATGAATAAAATAACCAAGTAAAAAGTCTTATATTTAATAATTGAAAAACTTATAGAGTATTCTAAGTCTTCAACTAGATTTGTAGATATTTAAAATAACAGATTAGGTTAAATCAAATTTTATAAAATCTTGTTCATTTATAAAGTCAATTCAAAATTCAACATGGTCAAATCCTTAATTTCTACAAATCTATTTACTTCTAGAATAATTCAAACACATATTTACAATACGCAATTCTAAAATGCACCAAATAGCATTGTTAAACATTTTTAAAATCCTTTTATAATAAAAGTCAAAATCCTAAAGTCCAAGTCAAAATTACTATATCTTGCAAACTAAGAACTTGTATAATAAGTTATTTATACTATTGGAATTATAGACACCAAATATGAAAGAATAAGTCAAGTCAAAATCAAAAAATAAAGAGGTCAAAAAACCAAAGACACCCATGTAATCCTTAATCTTTAGTCATAAATCCTAAATCTTAAATTCTAAATTCTACTTTCAAAATCCAAAATCCAAAACTACTAAATTTTAAACTTTTATCCTAGTTTTCAAAAATTCTTAAGAATTCAGTAATGTTTCTAAGATGCTAACATAAATTTAAGGCTACTATATTCTACTGAGATGTTTTATCATAGCAATAAAATCAATTTTAAACCAACTAAAATATTCTGTTTTTTTATAAATTACTAAAAGTAATATTAATTTTCTTTTCCATATTTCTTTTTATTTACTAGGTAACATTTACAAGATATCAATAGATAATACAAATGAATAGAAGACCATGTAAGAAATTGATTTTAAAAACTAGACACAATTTATTACAATTAAAGAAAATATTCTAAATTATCTACAATAATTGCTTCTAAGACTTATTAAGACTTTAATGACTTTTTGCTTAACAAGACTCTTCTAATTTATAAAACCTTCTAAATCCTAATAAATACTTAGATTATTAAATAAGATTTTTAATGTTAGTATTTTATATCTAAATAATATTAAAACTTTTTTTATAATAACTCCACCAAATGAGATATTTCAGTGGGATTTATAATTGGTCAAGTCAAAATTAAAAATTAAAGATGCCAAGAAAATTAGGCATGCTCATGTAACTTTAAATCCTAAATTACTAAATCTTTTATGCAAAGGTCAAAATCCTAAAATCAAAGTCAAAGCAGCTATATCTTACAAATTAAGATCTTGAAGAAAAAAGTATTATACTATTGGAATATTAAACTTCAGAAAGAAGAAGGTATGTCAAGTCAAAATTAAAAAATTAGACTGTCAAAAAATTGAAAATACATGTATAATCTCAATCTATATATTATAAATTTTTAATATTAAATATTTAACTTTAGAAATTAAATATGTTAAATAATTTGAATATTTTCTTATAATAATCTCCTTATGTAAGTTTCTTTGGTATGATCCAAATCTAATCTTCTTTGAATTACTATTCTTTTGTATTATTGTATTTTAAACTTATCTTATACATGCTTGGTTTTACATTTCTCACCAACTTGTAAAATATACTATCTATGGATTATTAACTTATTCTTAAAGTATCTTTTTAAAAAAGAAAAAATCATTCCTTAGGGCAATGATATGAAGCTTAAGCACCCTCCTAAATCAAAGGTAGTCAAAGATGTGAAGTTGCACAATTCATTTGGCTGTAATGTCTAGCTTGAGCACTTACTCATATCAAAAATATTGAAAGACATAGGATCACCCAATTCATTTGGCAATGATATCAAGCTTGAACATCCAATACTCATTAGTGTTCAACTATTTGCAGATATTTCTAATTTGCACAAGACTTGAAGAGAAATCCAAATAGGTTTCAATAAACTTACATTAAAGAACTAGGTATTCAAGAGGAGAAAATGTGAAATGGGACTGTAGTTTAACAAAAGTAAATATATCCCTCGTCTTGTTGAATTTTTGTTGCTGTAAGGAACCCATTAATTAGCAAAGGAGACGCACAGTACTAATCAAGCAAAAGGGAATGCTCAGGCAGAAAAATTCTCCACCACAAAATTGTACTAAAAAACGGAATCATAAAATTCATCTGAGCTGCTCTCCTCCTGTTCTTATCATTACTAAAAGGCTACCTAAGCTGTGAAGGTCAGCATGCAAGCTGTAGCAACAGGCAGAATAGTAACCTGAAACCATCCTGATGTGTTCTAAAATATACTGAAACTGAACCAAGAAAGACGCCTAGCTCTAACCCTCATGATTGGTTACAAGACTCTTTGTTAGCCCTGCAATTCAGCAAAGCACTGATTACTGAATGTTGGAGCACATATTTCATCCAGTCGGTCCTGGAAGTGCTACATCTTCAATATTTCCCAAAAGCTGCGCCCAGGAGTTAAGAATGACTTCAAGAGACGATGTCATTCTTTCCAACAATGATTGTGATTGTTCAAAATTGATAAGGGAGCACGGTCAACAGAGAAATTACAATTAGGAGGACGACACGGGGGATGATTTACCCTCTGATACAGCAGGGTCTTCAAGTAAACTACTGGTCTCCGTGCTTGCAGCCTTCTGTTTCGCTCCCAATGCCAGACCCATCATTTCATAGATTCTTCTTCCAAACTCTGCTGGGTTATCAGGCTGCATCAACCAGAATCGACATGAGCACAAAACACAATACACAAAACATTATCGTGGAGCGTGCAGGTAAAAGATATTGCTGTAGAAGAACACCCAAATGGGTTTGGATTCTCGTCATATTAGGTAGTCACAAATCTTGAACTGAAAACTTACTGTGAAACCACTGGACAGATTTGCAGTTTCGAATAGCAGATCGGCCAACTTCTTCGCTTCAGCGCTTGATGTCTCGTCATGGAACATGGACTACAGGAGGCATCACATAAAAAGGAGCAGTGAGAAATTATAACGATACAACTTCATGTTGTCAACTCAAGCGTTATTAAAATCAGATGTGAGCTAGAAATTCAATGTTACTCACGTTCAAACCCTTGATGATTGAATGATGAGGGTTAATCTCAAGGGTACGTCGCCTTAACAGCTGACTGAAGGCCTTTGAATCATCTCCAAAAGATTGTGCCTTCATAATCCTACATGAAGGCAAACAGATAAACATTACTAACTATGTAGCATATGAAATGCAAAACACTAAGTTCAGTGATCAAAATATCTGGCTCTTCGGAAACTCAATAAAATTCCAACGCAATTCCTTCACTGCCTGCACTGAATTTTCTCGTTCCAAATTGCATTCAAAACGCACTAACTCATCATGAACCATAATCAAATTCAAAGCTGAACCGATTTCCAGTCAAAAGCAAATCTTCCGTAGCAATCAAAATAGCCAAGTAGACATCACTTCTCCATCCTCCGCATACTTACTTTTCCATGTTTGCTGACCAGCCAAACTTAGCAGACACAAGGACACAAGGCGACGAGGTCCTCCGCTTGGAGATCTCAACCTTCGCTACTTTTTCACCCAGACACTTCGACAACCAATCACACAAGTTTTGGTATTCCTTGTCGACCTCTTCATCCTTAGTCTTGTCCTCACCCCCTATAACAAGAAAATTACAAGATACCACACATCTCAAAAGGTGTTTATTACACTACCACAATAATTTATTACAACAATCCAAGTACTATTAGCAAAGTTCCACGAGACGATAATGAAACCCACAATTATCATAAGTGAGTAGTTACCTAGGTCCAAATCCTCTTTGCTGATGTCCACGAACTTCTTATCCTTATATTGACCCAAGGAGGAGAGTGCCACTTCATCGATTGGATCCACCAGGTATAAAACCTGTCAAAAAGCTTTGTGAATATAGCTCAAACGAACCATCAATAGAAACGAGCGGTACTAGTGTTATTGCTATTCAAATTATAACAAAACGTTGGTAATGCAATATGTATGACATGCATCGCTCACCTCAAGGTCTCTGTTCAAGAGTTCCTCAACAAAAGGTGCATTCTTCGCACTCCTGATACTTTCTGCAGCCAGAAAGTATATTTGTTTCTGGTTTTCTTTCATGCGCTCCACGTAATCATCCAAAGACGTAAGGGTGTCTTCACTCTTGCTTGAGAAAAATCGAAGCAGAGGAGCAATACGCTTGTGATTGGTAGGATCTTCAGTACAGCCCAACTTCAAATTTCTTCCAAAAACATCCCAAAATTTCGGATAAGCCTGTCAAGACCAAGCATTTACCCACATGAATAGGAGTCCTTCAACGCGCAACATCTCTTGTATATAAAAGCAAATTTCTCCTACGTAGACATCCATAACTTCTGAGATGTGCAGAAAGGGGTACAGTACCTGTGTATCTTCATCTTTAGCAATTTTTTCTATCATTTCAAAAGTTTTGCGAACCAGGCGATGTCTCATCATCTTGACCTGCATCGAGAATTTCGACCAAAGATTTGTAATTTGAGATAGCCTGTTCCCGATCCGAAAATGAAAGTAACAAGCTGAAGAATGCAAACGACATACTAATACAGATTGGTGTTAGAACTTACAACACGACTCTGTTGGAGTATCTCGCGTGAAACGTTCAGTGGCAGATCATTGGAATCCACAATACCTTTCATAAAACTCAAATAACGTGGAAACTGCAGTACAAGTAGACTAGGTCAGACAAAAATCTACAATAGTACTTGTTCGTTCACTCGCACATGCCTCGCTATTACGCTCTAAAATAGCAAATCACCAACAAAAATCCAGCTCATAATTGCAAAAGCCAAGAATCATGTGCTCATCATGAGAGCAGTAGCAGTAGCCCGGTTCCCCGAAAGTATCTCTGCTCAAGATATTCATACACTCACCAAAGTAGCAACGACCTGACGACGAGATGATATAAATCTCCCTCCAGTGAATGTCCAGCAGACCAAGCAAGATAAAGGATGAAAGTACCAGGAAGAAGTTTCAGCACAGCTATATGAAACAATGGTCAGAGATTAAGAAACGAACCAGCTCTCCGTTGAACTGGTCAGAGATAAACACTCGTTTGACATGTAGCCTGACATCACCTTTTCTAGAATGCCACATCTCCTCTGTGTTTAAAGGCGCCATGGGTGGTATAAATAGAAGACTCGTGAATTCTATTTCACCCTGCAATTGGCAAGCCTATTAATATTAGACCAAATTCATGTGAAAGACTATAATGAGTTTATGAAACAGTGATTTGCATCATGTAGTCTACTACTCAGTCACGTAGACACGCATCTTCATGGCGTTCAATAATAAGAATGATCAGTTAAGAAAAGAAAGAAAAAAACACAAAACACAAAACAAACCTCAGCATTGAAATGTGTATAAGCTTGGGGATCCATGTATTCCTTGAAAGTACGCTTGTAAAATCCATGATACTCTTCTTTGGTCACCTCTTTTGGACTTCGCATCTGCGTCAGGTGAACCTACTTAAAACACTGGAGGAAATGAACTGGGAGTACATTGTAATTCAGAGACATGAAATTTGAGTAGTCAGGTTTGCTCATGACTGATGAATCTACATCGTTGTCCCGTGCCTACCCAAATAGGCTTGGTGTCATTGGTCAACTCCCAGTCCCAGTACTTCTCCACAGATGATGGCTTATCCTAAAAGAAAGCACCCAGTTGTGTCAGTGCTACTCCATTGCTCTCAAGACTAAACAATTTTTGAACAATAAAACAACAGAGAGCAACAGATCTGTTCCGGATAGTACGAGACACCACACCAAATCGGAGTCAGCAAAGCATTCAATCTAGCTTGAGTCTATCATGAAGCCACTCCACTAAGTTATAGAAGTATTTGAAGCAAATTTAAAAGAATAGCACGGAAGAGACTTACATGTGCGGTCACCTCATCTTCACCATCACTTTCCAAATCAACCTGGTAACAATCGCCACACAGATTCGGCATCATGTAAGACTTCAAGAATCACAGAAATAGCCAAATCGTTAGAATAGGTCGAGCGGGCTTCTATTTCAAGGGTATAAAAGAAGCATAGTACCTTCTTACTTCGTGTCTTCTCTTGCCATGTGTAGATAGGAAATGATATGAACTGTGAATAATTTTTCACCAGTTCTTCAATCTTGGCTGGATCTGAAAACTCAAACCTATGAGCATCCTGGATGGCAGAAACACGACCTTAGACGACTAGTTCGGCAAAACAGATTAAAATCTCAATCCTGGTTCTGGAGGCAGATTCAACAAAGCACTGAAAATTTGCAACCCTCGGAATCAACATTCCGAAAATACCTTCAGATGCAGAGTAATAGAAGTGCCTCGAGGTATAAGTTTGTCAGAGTCTGTCTCCTCCGTAATTGTGTAGGAACTTGTGTCTGCTTCTCCTTCCCAGACGTATTGCTTATCGGATTTTGCGCTCTTTGTGGACACAGTGACCTGTGTCCAGAAAAGAATTGCTGTATCAGAGCCCAACCAACTCCACCAAAAAAGAACAAAAAACCGAACTTAACCATCCCTTCTCCAAATAAATGATTAGTATTGGGTTGTGTTACCTTATCTGCCACGAGGAAAGCTGAATAGAAACCAACACCGAACTGACCAATTAAGTTGTTCTCATTGTTACCCTCCTGATTTTCCTGTTCACATAATGGAAGAGGCAAATATTGATTACATAACAACCTTCAAGCGTGGATTATCCGTCATCTTAAACAGGTGTTATGTCTAATTTTCTAATAAAATGCTCCATGCAAAATGTCATGAAGGTTTATCATCTTAATCTCAAGTTCCACGTTCTAAGGAACTGCAGTTAATGTAGTCAATGAAAATTATTTCTGTTATAAAAAGAAAACAGAAGCATGTAAGAGTCTAACAAAGCAAAACGTGATTGAGTTAAGGCACGCTGATTAACTTTTCTACTAACATAATGGACACTCTCTCGGTACTCATCTCAAAGAATGCTCCAGAAAAGAGATGAATTCATCAAAAATCAGAAGCAAGATCATTAAACCTTTAATGCTTTTAAAAACTTGGCGGTCCCACTGTGTGCAATGGTTCCAAGTGTTTCAATCAATTCTTCACGAGTCATTCCAACTCCCGAGTCCCTGTCATTTGCAACATGGATTGAAAGAACTTGACAGAAAGACCCTTAAACAACCTCCAAGTCTAGCTGCATGCAATGCCAAACAATGCATGACTTCCTCTCCTTCAGACCTTCAGGTCCAGCATACATGATAATGTGAACCGAAGGAAAAAGAAAAAGAAAAAATTTATAAAGATGAAGAGAAAGAAGAAAGCTTACATAATAGTCAGTGTGCCAGCATCAGGATCAGCTTTGATACGGATTTCTAGATTGGAATTGGCCTCCAATATGCTTGTATCAGTGACACTCAAAAACCGCAGCTTATCCAGGGCATCGCTTGCATTGCTATAAAACATAAATCATGTGCCTTTCAGATTCAGAATATCCTAACACTATCTAGTACTGATGGGCTATACCATAACGATCAGCATATTAGCATAAACTTCCTGGTCACTACTACTAAATCCTGAGGGTTGACTTCAAGATTACCTTACAAGTTCTCGCAGAAACACCTCCTTATTGCTGTAGAGACTGTTCACAATGAGATCCATAAGCCTACTCACCTATTCCAACGTAAACAACATGACTGTTATCCACAACTCAATTCGAACTGGATGGTGATTTGTACAGTAAACAATAGCAATGCCTGGTTTGCAGTGAATGCGTCCATTCCAAATCACATATCAATGCTGGACAGCTATGCATTACTGCAAGTATAATATTCCTCAAAAAAATGATACACAAAAAGAAAGCAGGCAAATCACCAATTTCTTGCACAAGCACACATACGGTCACGACCGTGAAGAGAATATCACCTCAGCTTGATATTCATACTTCTCCACTGATGCGTTCGCCGATGCTGCGGATGATTCCCACCGCGCACTAGCGTGTCTCAATTTATTATAATCAGGGCCCAATGCAAACTTTCGTTCTGCACATGCTCCCGAAATTTTTCGTACAGAGTAAAGGGAAAAACTTGAGTTTGTGGGCGCATGTCTGAGTTTATCTTTCCTATGAGCATCAGCACATCCTCTGTCGTATGAAGAAGGAGAAAAACACTGCAAAACCGAAACCAAACATCAACACTCCTATGCGGCAAAGACGCTAAGCATAGCCCTCTGCAACCACCCCAAAACCATCGTCCTCGTAGACTAAGAGAAGCTTACTGGAATGCAAAGCTCTTCGTAGACAATTCGAGCCGCTTGAAGACCGATGATACTTAAGTTTTCTCCAAAAATTACCGACACATCCACCACAACCTTGTAGCGCTTTCAATAATCAGCGGCACTACGAAGTTTTAGTGGGTCGCTAGATTTACAGGTTTTATTTATTGTTAACTCTTTCACGTTGTCCCAACCAAAATCATTGTTTTTCCAACCAACCGGCTAAACCTGAGAAGTTATTGGTATTAAGACTAAAAAGAATTTACTCAATTATAATCTCATTATAATCAAAACTTCAATCAACCTCAAAAAAAAGGTACAACCTATACAGCCGAGAGAAGGGAATTGAATTTAAAAATAAAAATAACCTAAATCTTTCATAAAAGATCACCAACAATTAAAAGCTCAAAAACCCTACATATACCTTAGGGCCTGCCTATCGAGATACAGAGATGTAATATGAACGGATAGAAGATATTTACTTCAAGTAGAAAATATTACCATTTCAAAATATTCACACTCACAATAGTTCAAAAAAAGTTGGAAAATATAAGAGGGAAGCAGGAAAAAACCTATTAACTCAAATTTGGTTTAAAAGCCAATTATTCGTCAGACTAGCCTCCTATCGAAGAAACTACAATCCTAAAATCTTCCAAAAACAAACAGACGAGACGCGATCGAAAAAGCACAACCGACCTTCTCGAGACCATTCGAATCATTTAATCGACCTGAAACGGCCGCCGACGAGAGGCCGCGAGAGACATCCAATGCCGCAACGGATCTCCACGCACGCCTTGCAAGCATACGCCGCGATAATGAATACATTGGTGCAGCTACGATATTCCCCTGTGCTGCTACAACTCAATGCGATGAATATAAAACCTTAAACCCGAACAATCTGAGGGATAACTCTAGGACAAGCACAATAGCAGGTAAACTGCCGCAGCTGACTGAGAGGCCCTCCGCTCCAACACTAAACCTTCACAACCTCGCATCGATCAATGATATACGAAGCCGCAATCGAATTAGTAAGAATTGGAGGAGAAGCGGCAGGACTGGAATGGAGGCAGGGAAGAATCTGGAAGAGAGCAGCAACCTTCCTCGGAGGGTTGTTGGCCTTGTGGAGAAACCGGAAAGGAAGACCACCCTCCGATGAACTTTTTCGTTCGTGGAGACGACGATTTTAGTTATCATCCATCTCTCGGAAGGGTTTCGTTCATTTCTGTGCATGTTATCGTCCGTTACGGTTATTTCCCTGTGTCTGGATTCTGCGATTGGCTGAACTGTTGCTTTAATTGTTCACTGCTTTTCACATATCTGCTCACCTAATGAAGGTACGTGCCTGATTCGACCTGGAGTTGCTTTGACATGGTAAGTCATGCAGAATGGCGTCGAGGATCAGGTTTCAGGGCAAGCGTGTGCACGCAAGGGGTTGAAACTTTCACACAAGTAGTTGAATCACGACGGTGACATAAATCGATCTCAGCTTCACAAGAGCTCCATTCGCACCATGCTCAAGTTCATTTTCAACTGTGGCAGTCTAGCAGTTGCATCGTATGCACTACGCGTGACATGAAGTCAACACTAGAAGGCATTGGCAAATGTCCAACTTCCTATTGGATTCCGCGCGGAGTGGGCAGTTTCAGCTGATTTTGACGGTTTCTGAAGTGGACGATCACTAGTGGAAACGGTTGTTCTAGTAGTTGACGGCTTCGTTGATCTTGACACAACTTCACTTGTCGTTTATCACAACATAGTTTTCGGTTTGCACATCATAGAATTGGGCAATATAACAACCTCGTTTGAAGCAGATATGATTCAAAACAACCGGATCACACACACGAGCTTCACACAACATTATTATATGCAATGCTCACACGAAGAATTGCAGTGACTCATACTCATATGCAGCAGTCGAGTAGCGGACTGTGTAGGGCTACCACATTCTAGGTTAAAAATGAAGAGAAGTTAATAGATTGTAATAGAAACATCTCAAGAGCTCAGCGTATAGAGAAAATGAATGCTGTATTGACAAACCAAGAAAAACTCGAGCAAGTCTGAGAGAGTCCGGCAACATGTTGAAGACACCCTGGACCGTTTCAGAGAAATGACTGGCCAGCATCTTAAACCATGAAACTGAGATGATGTCACGTATTAGAACAGGAAGGTAATCTCAGATCGCCTAGTCATAAAACCTCCCTGTCGACTTCGATTCGAAACACCCGCAAAATCTGTGCGCTACGCTCCACTTCTTACATTAGACAAGGTTCACTAACGACCTGCAGTACCGTCTCATTTCTTCGTAAGACAACTAGCTTAAGTCCTGAGCGAATATTAGCTCCATCCATTGGACCAAAACACTTTTTTCAGATTTTCGAAGTTATAACATTAAAAAATCTCTAACGTAAATTTTTGCAATCGTTCACACCTGGACAAGCATGCCACCATGTCATAGGGTGGCTCGGATGATGTGGACAAGCACAGGGCTCCAGCTCGGCAGAAGTTTTCGCGGGGGGTGTCCAGGTGGCACAAACGAGCCACGCGAGGTGCACCGATAGATAAGAAGCACGGAATCATCAGATTTTCTCGTTGCGCAGGGCCTCACGATGCAATTTGCCGCTAACCTCAATTACACTTACAGAGTCTTGTCTCTCTCAGTTCTGAGCTCTGTATAACACTTGCTGTAAATTGAAGGATACTGTGAGGGGTTGGCATCTTGGAGAAGGAATTCCGAGATGCAACGGCGTTGCCATTGCAGTACAAGGTTGTAGAATCGGCGATGGATGCTTGTTAGGAGGAGGATTGTCAGTGCAGAAAAGGGTTTGGAATTTTAGTATTTTGGTTCAATTTGCTTTTTCTAGCTGCTCCGATTATGGCTCGAGCCATGTTGATTTCATCGGGGATCTTGGGTGCAACCTGTACCTTCCAGCAGCTGGGTGCTTCTGAAATTTTTGCATCCTCTACAGTTCTGGCGTCCTTTCCCCAGCTGAAGCGCCGGAGTCCTGCTGTAGCGGTCGTCAGCAGATTGAGCTCTCCACAATGCTCCAATTTTAGACAGCAGCAGGTATTTGTTAATTGAATCTTTTCTTCGTGCTTATGGCGTTGGTTGCGAAGGTGATGTTGTACATACCATGTTTTGGGATCTTTAGAATACAAAAGAGATTGGAGTGGGTGTTCAATACAATGAATCTGAGTTCCGTTTGGCTAGGGATGAAATCGTTACCTCAGGGATGATGAACGAGTACCTGTGGTGTGAAGTGGTTGCATTAGACTAACGACCACAATCTGGAATTTTTTGGTTTCAGAGCTTTAAAGATTTCATTTATCATTGCCGTTGAAGTCTACGGTGGCTACTGCCAATCACCTCTAGTTGCAATGCCATGAGATCTGGGAGTGCTCTTTGTTATTCAAGCTTTTGACAGAATGTCAAATGCTTTGAGGGTGTATTTGCCCTAGAACTGTCTCGCCTGCTAACAGGTTAATTTTGATATATTATTTCAATTTTGCTCAGCTTGGATTTGGAGTGGCAAGCATTTCCAAGAGCTTTAGCTTTGGTAGGAGAGGTGAAGACAAAGGATTTACTGCGGCAGCCACTGGCGAGTCCTCGACTGGTGGTGTTACAGAGGATGTCATCTTTCTCAATGTTGGGGTAATGACGTTTGCAGTGTGTTTCCGTAGCTCATCTCTGGAATTGCGCGGCGATTCTCAATACCTCTTGAACTGCGATACATGTCAACAAATAGAAGTGATCCAGACATATTTTAACATTTCTTTTTTTCTTTTTTTGCTTATCTGCAGGGCATGTCATGTGGAGGGTGTTCTGCATCAGTCAAAAGGATATTGGAATCTCAGGTATTGCTTGACCTATGATTTCGATCCAAACATTGAAATGTTTCTGTATCGTGTAGTTGTTGAGTTCCAAGACAGATATGAACTTTGAACTAAGTTCTCATTTCTAACCACAAGGCCGGATGCTGATATATATATATATATACAATTTGTCGTCCTAATGGATGATTTGTTGGTGTTGTTCATGCCAGCCACAAGTGAAGGAAGCGAATGTCGATTTTGAGACAGGAATCGCAGAGGTGCAATTAACCCTGGAGCTTGAGTCTACCAAGCGTGAACTTGGTGAAACTTTAGCGAAGCACGTGACCAGTTGCGGCTTCGAGACTTCCCTACGAGGTATGTTGAATTGATTTGAAGAATGTCCTGAAATGAACCATTGTACTGTGGTTTTGTAGGAGTCAACGCACCTATTTTTAGTTTTAGATTTAGTTACAGAAATAGCAGAGGATTTTGAGTAATTGATTGTGATGAACATACTGAACTTGGTAGTACTCTTGTTTCATGTAGTGCACAAATCTCTAGATTCTCACTCGTTCTTGACCGTTTTGATTTCAGAATAATGACCGGTCAGATGGTTAGAAGGTAGTTGCAGCAACCCAAATCGCATGAAGTGGCATTCTCTACATGCCATTCTTCCTGCAGCTCAGAACACGGGATGGTAACAGAGCAGTGTTACTATTTCGTGCGAGATGCATCCCTTGCCTAATGCTCCAGGTAGCTCTTCGCGAAATGGAATATTTTTGTTTTAGCATCATTTATTCGCTCACCAGAAGCGGCACACCTAACGCACACCGAGAGCTATGATGTATGTTCTTTTCACATCCACTTTGACGCATTTGCAGATATCGTTGTGCTTGCTGAATGAATTTGCTAATCAAATGTAGGGAATTCATTTGAATAATCAGAGATTCACATAATGAAGAATTAACCATGACTATGGAGTGATGATAGAACGCCCTGGGTGTTGTTTTCTCAGTCGTTTGTCAATTCAAAACCTCTAATTAGATCACCTTTGCCAATTATTTAAGCTCCATGTGCGTAAACTCCTCCTTTGCAACATTTACTGTTTCAACCCCTTATTCGGTAGCATTCATTGGATTTAACTTACCAAAGCATTCTACATTTAATGAGGGTTCTCGCTTCTATCGCGAACTCACCGAGGCAACTTTGTGCATTTGTCTCTGCATGTTCAATAAAATTTCCGTGGGCATACCACAGGATACACTTGGCAATTGCCGACTAAAAGTTTCAGCAGTTGTAGATTAATCCTATTGCTATCATATCTGGAAACGAAGAAAGAGAACTACAAGCGTTGATTCTTGGTTACAGCAAGCCGGATCGCTCCCGGCCAGCGCTGTCACGAACTGTCCTTGATTAAAAGCAACCATTGATCACCGTGCCCGAGTGACATCTTTTGGAAATTTGCTAGCAGTCCATTTGACTGTACAATCTGACACATCCTCCCAGTAAGTTTATCCTGAAGCTCCATATATTGTAGTGCCTTCACTCGTGGTTGGAGCTTGTTACTATGCGCGACTTTGTTTGATTGCTTAGCTGTGTTGTCTCCAACACCGAGCTGGAAGTCCTACTCTTCCATGTCCAAAACTTTACCTCTCTGCAAGAGTGATATTCTTTGAGGATTTATGTGGTACTTTTGCGAATTGGGTGTCGCATGTTAGTAGACCTCTTAAGTTTTGGGTATTGGTCACATTGAAGCGTTGTCGATCATTGCGCTTCGGGGCTCTCGGAAACGGCGCATCGACTTCTCCAGCGACGTGCAACAAAAATTAATTTTGATAAAACTTTCTCTAGGGCACTCCCGCTCCCCCCACAGCTAAAGCGTCGGTGGCCTGGCCTTGAGATCGAAAACCAATTCTCTCCTTTGAATCGCTGAATAACCAGAGCTCAAGTTTGTGGCAGGTGCAGGTATTGCGACAACTCTTCACATTTTCTGCATGGAAAGTTTAGAAATCCCTCCACTGAATTTCGTTTGAACTACATTAAGTTGCCAAATACATAGCAGGGTTGCCACTTTCTGCTGCTCGATCATGCCGAGCTCGCAGACATTTGGTCTTAGACGATGATTGTTATGAGATACTTTTCAATCTGTTTCGAGTAGAAATGCTGACAGTTAGCTCTGAGAAGATGTCATTCTTATCTCAGCTTAGACTGTCGTTTGAAGAGGTTATCATGATACTTTTGATCTAGAATAGCTGTTTCTGTTGAGTATCAACTTTCTCCAGTCATTTAGATGCAATGCAGTTGCTCTCGAGATCTGCATACTATTATCCAGCGCAAATATTGAAGTACTTCCTACCCCAGTGTACAGAGCTCCAACCCCAGATGTAGGCATGCATTTCTGTTCCCTGCTTAGAGTTTCTAAATTGAATGAGGCTTTGAGACTGACTTTCTTGCTGATGGGATATGTTGTGTTTAGTTGGGTTTGCTAGCAGCAAGAATTATCCTACCTTGTCACTGCCGAAGTGAACTTAGTGCCAGCACGAGGGTGGAAATTTGAAGACTCAGTTGTTGCGTCGTCCGGGGATACGCGTTTCTCCCTAGTTTTGTATGTTACATTGTGGTTTTCTTGCGAATAAGTTTCATTTTTTAGGTGTCATAGACTCACAGGTACTAAAGAAAGTTTATGATAAAACTTTCTTTAGGGCAGGTACTGTGAGTCTATGATACTATTAAAATGAAACTCTTTTGTGAGTCATATAGTTTTAGGTTGCGCTCTTTCCATGTACTATTTAAGTTTTAGATCAAATTGAATTTTGACTCAAAAAAGTGGTTATTCTGCATGTTTTTCACTCAGGACGAAATTATAGCTGGGGCTATCAATTGTAATGGTACTATTACAGTTGAAACAAAAAGAGCGGGTGGTGATCTCGTAATGTATGATTTTGTTCGTGTGGTAGAGGAAGCTCAGACAAGCGGAGCTCCTGTGCAATGGCTTGCTGACAAGATATTACTGACTTTCACCTCGTCTGAGCTGAATGATTGATTCTTCATAAAATTGAGGTTGTTGAAGCGTTCTGTGCTTTGCTGGTAACGAAGATGTGAGTACCGCTTACTTGATACAATTTCAAGTGCAACGTTCTGAAGAAGTTTTCGGAGGTTTATAGCTCTCAAGTTTCATGGCCTTAGCATTGAAGTTTTTCTCTTGATCGTGAAACTACGCACTTTGTAGTTTTTTCTGGTGAGAGCTTGGCTGTCCATCTGATTCTATTTTTTAGTACAGTAGTTGTACTACTCCGAAATTCTTTTTCGAGGAAGTTTGACTAGACTTCTTCTCCTATTAGTTTTTAGTATAGTTATTTACACTACTGTTTCTCATTGTACCTGGTTAAGGCATTTAGAGTTAGACGTGGACAACATTTATGCTCTGAACATTACAGGTTTATTCCGTCAAGGGGTGATGGCACTGTCCGTTGCTGCATTTACCTTTTGGATTATCTTGGCACCTACTGTGTTTCCAGCAATTGTTCCAGCTGGAGGACTACTACTGCACGAGCTTTAGTTGGACTTTAATGGTTTGTTACTTCAAGTTGCAAACCAACTTTTGATGATCAGTATCTGAGTTGCAAACATGTCTTCACATTTGTGATTTATCCGCTGTGTGCAATGGACTCCGGTTGTACGGAATCGGAAGACTTTTCTATATGAGAGTGTTGGACTTCAGGACTGTCGTGTGTACTATCTGTTGAAGAACTTCTAGCTCTCATGACGTTGAACATAATTTGGTTAGCTCTGGTAGTCTTTGTATCTTATCGGCAGAAAGCTATTCAGCCTGTTATGGTATGTGATAGATTCTTGATTCTACACTAGAGCCACTTAAGTTGGATCTTTTTTCTTTTTTAATTTGTTTCCTATTTTCATTCTTTTTAAATCATTTTTATCTAATCGTATTCTGTATTGTTAACGCACTTGTCATTGCTTACTCTCGTGCGCCTGGACTCGCGACCCCCACAGCAGTTCTGGTTATCACTTAGAAGGAACTCGGGCGTTACTCTGTGTAGAGTGTGACGATGGGGAAGCGGTTAAGTACCAGAAATGTTGGCTCTGTTGGGTCATGGCTGGATTTAAACTGTGGATTACCTTGCTAAGACCATTGTCTGAATTATCCCTGAGAAGTTTTGATAAGGTCGAAATATGAGGAATCATGTAATGTATGTATCGTTTGCAAATATCCAGTTGGTTTCAATTGTTGATGTAGATCAAATTTTTGCACCAGGTTTGAACATCCGTCGAGACAGAGAGGGAGCTTCTCGCAAGGCGTAGAAACGTTTTGGAAGAACGGAAGCTAAAAGCTGTAGGCACGTTAGTGTGGCTTCTCAGGTAAATCACTTGTGCATTTGTACAGTAGTCCTTTAATTTAAACAACACGTTTACCGTTTTGTGTAAAACTATCCTTTCTGAGTACCTTTATATCTTAAATCAAAATATTTAAGTATGTAAAGTTATCGAACCTTTGGTTGGCTTGGTGTGCTTTGTGCGGATGGGGCTGAAGGAAAGGCTGCGTAAGTTACAGAGGCTGCAATGCAAGAGGAGGCTGTTATCATTGTTGGTGAGTTAATCTCCTCGCAAGTACCCTGCCATCACTTGTTTTAGTTTTGTCTCAAGGGATCGAAAACTTATTGTTTTGCCTTATAGTTGTTTAGAGATCCCATGGATTTAGCAACAAACAGTGGTGGCCTTTGAATATTTCACTTGCAAATGAGGCGAGATAGATTGTTCACATATTTATTTAACAGTTCCAGTTGCTATCTTTTCGACAGACGTGGATGGTAAGCTTGTGGAAGCTGTCACAATAATTGATGAACAAGGAGATGATGCCAAGGCTTCCATTGCTGCGCTTCATCGGGTCGGCATGAAAAATCCATTCTTCAGATGTGAAACAGGAGGCTGCAGAAGTGAACACTTAGCGGCGACAAGTATGCCACTGAATTTACTGTGAAAAGAAGCTGCTTCGATATCACGGTTAAAGTTTCACGACGATCTTTTATCTTCGGGCTCTTTCTGCTCTTGATGTGTACAGTTAGTATCTTCCTAGTACTCATTTTTTTAACTGATGCTTTCAATTTCTAATTGTGACTAGACCTTTCGGATGCAATATTTAGATCTATGCTGAAGTGAAACCATCTGGAATTGCGGATTTCACAAGGCAGTTGCAATCGAAGAACAAGTGCGTGGCAACGGTTAAGGGACGTCGTCAATGATGCTGCAGGGTCAGGTCATACTCAGATTGGCACGGCGATGGCAGTGGATTTGGAACAGCCAGTGAAGTGGCATCCATGGTTTTTGTAAGAGACAAGTCCAAACGGATTTTTGTAATGCATCTCGACTTTTGAACCTCGTATCTTCAGTTTTAATCCTTAGCCTCTCTGAAAATTAGTAGGTTTTGGTTATTGTACACTGGAGCCCCTGAACTATATCTAAGGTGTGATTCCAAATCGAATTTTCACCTCAAGTTAATTTGAGCTGACTGTTGATGATGTTCAGATAAGCCGGGTAACGCTCAAGCATATTAAGCTGAACCTTTGCTGGGCATTCATATACATCGTAAATTGATACATTCATGATTGTACCCCAGCTTAACAGTCTTGGTTATATTCCTATTAGCTAGTATGTCAACAAGTTTGAACGTTTTGTTTAATCCCCAAAAGATTACAGGCTGTTCATTGAATTTTTTCTTGGCCTTGTACTTTCAACACGGGAGTAAACAGTAATTTTAAACGTTGTTTGATTTGATGAGCTTAACAAAACATGGAATGAACAATCTCTTGTTGAATGGTTATTGGTTCTTCCAAACCTACATGTAACTCTAGTTGTGCTCCTGTGTCCAGGCGGAACCCCTGCTCGCTGCTGATGCTCTCCTGCCTTCAACGAATACTATGCTCACTCCATCGATTGCAGGTGCCCTTGCGGGAACAAGCTCTTTGACTGTATTGACGAATTCATTGCCACACCAGCTGGGGTTTTCACAACTTTGTTCTAATGTCACAGAAAGTGAAGTTAAAATGTGTAAAACTCACCACGGAAGGCAAAGTTCAGACTGACCATCACTTTCTTCAAATTCAACGCTATTAAAAGTTTGCACATGTACAGCATGTGTCATGAAGGTAACATATATGCTATTCTAGAAAGTTGAAAAAAGAAATGGAGTTACTTATTGCAATCGGACTGTGCGCTACAGTTTCTAAAGCATGGTCCTGCGCTGCTGCGGCCTGATGGAATCCAATTCACTCATCGCCTTAAATTCAGCTTGTATGGGTAAAGTGCAGCATGTCGTGACACCACCTCTCTTGACAATTATTTTATTGTTTACAATCGAGATTTTGGTTAGGAGAACATTAAAACACCGTCAAATAAGGAATGAACCTAGCTATCACACAGTTCCAACAAGTTGCACCTCGGCCTCTCGCCACTCAACTTTCTGTCTACCCTAAAATATCACCTCCGCGCAAGTAACAACTCCATGCTCCCCTGCTTACCATTTCTAGTCCAGGGTGTTGGCATGTGTATTTTTAGTCTAGATGAACAAACTCGGACGCAATGAGTGCGCAAACTGAAGAATCTCTTCGGCTTCTTTACCACGGACTTGGACTGGAAGCCTTGAATGCTCTTCCCTAATATAGCCCGAGACTTGAACCTTTTTTTCCAGCTAGAAGCCCCCTTCTCTCTCGTCACGATCCTCAAGGCAATGGCTACCGGCATCCGTAACGAAGATTCTTCTGTAGGCTGAGGCTAATTCCAAGCTCAAAAGGTGCATATAGAGGACGTAGTTGATGACGAGATGCTTGTCCTTTACCCTAGGCACTGCTCTTCAAGGTTTGTCTGCAGTGCATGAACTCGACTTCCCTGCCCAAATCCAAACCCAACGGAGGAGATGGAGGAGAGGAAGAAGATTACAAGAAAAGGTAGGAAAAAACTAACTGTGAGGATCAGTCGCTACTCTTCACACCCATGCACATCAAACCCAGTGGTGCTCAGAAATCCACACACACACGAACACAGGAAAAAAAAAAACAAAACAAAACAAAACAAACAGAGCCCCAGTTTCAAACTGTTTGGGTCAGTTAGTTGTCCCAGATTTTTTTTTGTAAAACTATTTTTTGATAATGATTTTTGTTTCTCTGATCCTCCAATACCGGCACTGGAAAAGAATGGGTCAGTGAGACAGAAAGATAAATTGATTAATTAAAGTTCAGAAGAAAAGAACAAGGAAAACAACTGTGGCTCAGGTAAGAATGAGGGAGTGAGAGTTAGAACCCAATTTGAGATTGGTACAGTAAAAGTAGTTGCAGTGTGTAGGAGGTCACTTCTGTGTTTGTCAATGATTACAGAGTTAAAATAAACAGAACAAAACGATATATATATATATATATATCACACAAGTTTAAACAGGTGCATTTGAGGGGGAGGAGGTGCTCATAATCCTCTGCATGGTTGTAAAATCAGTAGCCTCATGATGAATGGAAGGCAGGCAGGCAGAGCAGGGCAGGGCAGGGATGTCCTCTCAAAGCAAGGGAAGCTTGTTCTCTATTTCAATAAGATACTTTGAGGGTCAAGCAAGTAACATCAAAGGTCAGGCTTGCAGGCTTTACACTTTGCATTGAGAAAGAAGGGGGGAGGGGGGGATCATTGAGACCCTCCCACTTGTTGAAACCTTGTCTGTGGGGGCATGAGGAATGTTAGGGTTTTATTTCTTTTCATTTCTTTTGGTATGGTGAGTTTTTGTACCACCACTCTGGCCTATAGGTTGCACACTTCCCTGTGTTTGGGTTGAGTGAGCTTTGTCAGGATAGCCTTAACACCATGTGCAATACAACATTATTTTTCTTAGTTAAAGGGTGGGTGGGTGGGTGGGTGGGTGTGTGTGTGTGTGTGCACATACATACAAACATACATATGGGTGTATGTATACAGATGAGAATTTTTAACTGAATAGTCTGCTCAAGACTTGTTCTGCCTCTCTATCACTATTGTCATAAAACCTTATCCTAAGAACTGCAACATGTTGAAACATAGAAATGGAATTTTATTTCAAAATGTGAAATTTGAAACATAGCATCAATGTAAATAAATAAATTGGCATTCAAGTTTCACATTGTTTGAAGTTAAAATGTGGAAGTTAGGATGTGAACAGTTCACTATCTTGCATTGAAAGGTCATTTCACATCTTCTACTGGGTCCATGCAGATTCATCTTTTGATTTAACCAAGAAGCAAACTTGAAGCTACACTGATAAGACCACACCATCCTCAAGCAGAAATGAAGAAACCATGTGTATCTTGATTACTGTGGCTGATGTGGCAAAGATCAATCTGCTGCCCCTTTTCCACATCATACATCTTCAACAGTTTTTGTTGTGTTTATCTATTTAAAATAATAATAATAATAATAATAAATAAAGTTGTACATGACAGAGCAAGAGCAATTGAGGAGTTTGAAAGAATCTCACTTGTTATCCACTGCAGGACAAGGTTCTCAAGCAGCAGCCATGCCGCCACTGCCCTGAAGCATCACCTTTCCACAGTAGGCACAGTTTCATGTAACAGTTCCCCCTTCATAGCAAACTGCAGTGGGCCCCTTCTTTTAAGGAGCATATTCAAAACTCTGAACATCTCAAACATATACATGAATGCATGCATATTTCTAAGCTGTTTCAGCAGTTACAATGTTCACTGTTCAAAGTAGCTGCAATCTTCATGTTGACTACTATTTGGTAGTGGGTAAGCAGCCACAACTAATACACAAAGAGAGCCCTAATTGTGTGCCCACATGATGGTATGTTTCACTATTGTTGCAAAAGTAGCATTAACCACTTTGAGCAACTAGACCAATTATAAAAATACAAAAAAGTGAGAAATATATAAACATACTAGTAACCCAACTCAATAAACAAAGATGAGGTTAAGAAAATGTTTTGAGAGTAGCTGTCATGGGCATGACCATTAGAAGTTGCTACAGATGTGTAGAACAAAGAGAAAGAAGAAGGGAAGATAGAGATTATGGTTCTCAATTTGAATTAAGAGTTGCTTCAGACCCACATGCAATGATATGCAAGTACTTCATTTTTAATGTACAAACAGATTTAAAGGCCTTCATTTACACGTGCATTGTGGGGGGTACGGCACGGGGCCTTTGGCTGTTGTACCTTCACAATTGGATTTGGAGTTTACAAGTTTTTTGAAGGGGCTCATGAACAACTCCTGAGTACCCTTCCTTGTCCACTTTTAACTCTCACAATTGTGTTTTATTTATCAAAGTTGAGAATCAAAATAAGTATTGTCATACATTTTTCAAGCTTAACCACATTGTACATTAAGTTCACCCTCCTTGGGCTTGAATATATATATATATATATATATATATATATATATATTTATTTATTTATTTATTGGGGAATGTTAAATAGACCCAAGGTTTTACTTGATTGACTCACCCATTCTAACCATCATGAAGAAAAAGAAAAAGAAAAGCAAAGAAAAAACCTCTAGATTCATTTCCCTACTATTGGATCTGCAACCAATAAAAACCAACCATGTTCATCATGATCATCATATTCTTCATCAAGGATGGGTCTATTTAGTAAAAGCTTGGGTCTTTTTAATATTCTTCTATATATATTATCTTTGCATTTTATGGAGTGAGGTTGTATGGAAAGAATTCACCTCTCCTTTCAATATTTTGTCCATCAAGTTTGCTACAAAGATTTTGCAAGAGGCTGGTGACTGTCATTTTGATGGTGACTCAGGTATACACATGTTTAATGCATCAAGTGAAAACCCACCTTCCAAAGGAAAAATAGCTATCACTGGGACTGTGGATCCTGTGGTGAGGTTTTCTGCACACTAGGAATATTATGCACATCCTACTGTAGAAGGTTAACTCCTGAGCCAAGGAATTCAAGAACTAAAATTAACAAAAAGAGAAATGGAGCATACTTAATTAGAGACTGTCTTTATGGTCCCATGCGAAAGCACTTGGAGCAGTTCCAGTGTGACCACAGGCATAGGGCAGCACCACATGGTAGATAAACAATATTATCTGGTCGATGCGAGATATGGATGAATCTTTTGTTTTTCCCTCCTGCCCTCAATTATGCGGAGTGGCAATCAAGCGTGCTGCAATGGAGAATCTTACAAGGCTAGGGGCTTAATGACAGGAAGAACATAAGGGCCACAGAATCAATGCCTTTAATGCGAGCCTTCCCCCTTTTGCTGTGCCACATACATTGACGATGCATAGACGGCGCTTTAGCATGCATGAAGTCGTTGCTGGAGCGGATTCGCCCAGGGCCCCACCTGCGAAGGTTTCTTCGCAGCAGCAATCGCCGTGTCCCTACTACTTCAGGTGTGTGTGCACCGATTGTCAACACTTGTAGGGTTGACCAGAGTTGGCTTACAATGTAAGCGCAGCGAAGTAGCCGATGGGCGGTGAGAGGATGTAATAGCCTTTGTTTGGTGAGTTCCTAAGGTTTAGGGCGGGGGCAGAATGGATAGGAAATAGCTGATTTGGGGAATAGTTGGGCTCGTGGTGGGCGGTAGGTTGGACCTATGGCTTGCAGGATACATGGGTTGTGAGGAGACAATTACTCATGTCTTGATACATCAGTCATCTTTGGGTTCCATGTTGCGAGGTACTGACTAGTGTTGTGTAGACCCAAAAGTATGAGATGAAGAGGGCCCAGCGTTGTGGGTAATTTCAATCAAGTCGACTTGGTTTTGGAAACCTTGCAAGAGACGCAAGTGAGTACAAAAAGCAAAGTACAAGGATAATAAAAGGATAAATAGCGGTTTCAGCAGTAAGGGAGTATACCTCGGGGGCAGTTGGAATGCAGTTTGCACATCTGTTGTTTATTGAAGTTGATTGGTAAAATATATTCTTACTCACAGCTAATTTCCAATGGTAACTTTTATGTAAGAGCGGGAAACAGTTTCACCTTCAGAAAATTGTATTTAGAGTTCAAGAAAAGGAAAAATGGTATGAGCGAATTATCTCATATTCTATCAGTTTATGAAAAATGTTTCTCTTCGATTCTCTATACACAATGCATGTACACTGGCAAGATCATAAGCAGCTCCTCTTGTCACTGCCTACTATGTGCACACTAAGTCATCCGTGAACAGCTTCATCTACGAAGCTACACAGGGTCAAGAGCCTAACGTTAGCGGTAATATGGTAAGATGCCGGAAGCCCAGCTGAAGTCTCAGAAACTGGGATCAGTAGTGCAATTGACACCAATGGCCTCCAGAGTGAAAATGATCACACCATGTAACGCATTGGCTCCTCGATAAGGACGGGGAAGAGCTGATGCCCATCGTGAAGCGAATGAAACAAAGAATCGTGTGCTCCTCTGTAAGGATAACGCAAGTATTCGTCACTACTATTATCAGACAAATATGAGATAGAGGAATCCCCTCCAAAGCACGCATCACACCCATCGTCTAGAAAGCTCTGCCAGCCCGTCGTCACTGCCTCGCAATTTTTCATGGCAAGATCACGTTTCACGTAGATTAACTCGTCCTCCATTTCATTGGCAACAAGTCCAGGATCTGTGTAGTATTGCCAAGCATCCGGAAGGTCGCACAAGCTGCTCCAGCTTTCGGCCGAAGGATCAGTGTTCCAGGAATTCTGTTCGAGGATTGGATGACGAATTATGTCAGCTTGAGATGAACTGCTGCAAGGCCAATCTTCCGACAGCTGATGCATATTATTCACCGTGGAGCTAGCACTAGGAGGTAAAATGCTCTGTAAACTGTCTGGTTTCTGACTGAACGTGGAACTGTTACTTGAACCGCAAAAAATCATCTGAGAATCCACTGATGTAGGAAGGGGCTGTGCGGGGCTACGAGCAGTTGCGGAGTCTAATGAAGTTGCAGTGTCACCCAAGGGAGACACTGATGAGGTTGCCGAGTCCTCTGAGTAAGGGACTTGGGTTGATAAGAAGCACTGGTTGGAGTCGACGAGATTATTGTCAAGAAGACAGGGAGCCGCGGAGCGTAGTCCATTGTCAATGCACACATACTTTGAAACCACTTGTGCAAGAGTGCCCGCCTCATCTTCATGAAACTTTGAAGCGCAAGAGACCCCGGAAGTGACGTGCCCACCACCAGGACTTCGCACTGGACCACCGCTCTCGCTGAAGGTTGATTCATAGGATACCGTCGCTCTGTTGCATGATGCAGCGTAGTCACCGACGCAAGTGGCATGCTGCAAGAATGAAGACGATGTGACGGTTAAGGCAGGACATGTGGAGAAAACTGTGATAGTTCGACAAACCACATTACTTGATGTTATATTCCTCGGATTGTAGAGATGACCTGAAACGACACTTAGGTCACAGTTACGGATGAAGAAGCACTCAATTAGTCGAAGAGGTAAGAGTTAGCATCGCAGGAGCGCGCTTCACTGAAGAAGCCAGTCAAGAACAGAAACTAATCGATACTGACGAAGCTCAGAGACATACTTCAGAGAACACTGGCAGGAAGGGGAATAAGAGAGACAAGTTAAATACCTGATCAGGAGAAGCTACTGCCACAGTGACACAATCACGTCCAGTCTGCAACGAGGAGCTCCCACCAGAGTTTCTTTCTGAGCTCTGACAAAGCCTAGACAGAGGCACTTCACGAACTACACACTGCTTCTTTTTCAAAGGGTCCCTTCTTTCGTTCGCCAGATTTTCACAACTGGAGCTTTTCAGCAAATCGCCATTCTCAGAAGCAGAGTGACGTGGTCGCGGATCACTAATGGCGCTTGCCAATCTCTCTACTGACTCATACATGTGCTTGTAGGGCTCGCTAGAAGGGTCCATCATTGTATCCACTGGTGACCCAAGCATGAACCTCCCTATCGTATCCGTGGGCACTTTCAGGCCGCCACCGAACTTCAGACCCGTGTTCCAATCCAAATTCCAGCTTTGCTTTGCTCCACAAAGGCCTCCGAAGAACTTATCTCCCTCTGACTGCTCTGAGGCTCTAGAGGCTGCCAGTGCCGCGGAGAGCAAGCACGTCTGGTGAGTGGGGTACACAAAGTTGGTCCTGGCTTTCAATCCTCTCATGGATCTCGCAGCCAAATCGTAAGCAACTGCAGCTTGCTCTGCAGTGTCGAAAGTACCCAACCACCTCCTCTCTCTAGTGTGAGGGTCTCTGATTTCGGCAGCATACCGCCCCCATGGACGACGCCTCACCCCCCTGTACTTCCCTTCCGTTGGCTTCTTCGCCTTCTTCGTCCCAGACTTATGACCCTCCATTGCTCGAGCACCCATCGCAACCTCCCTCACAACAGAACTTCAACCACTTCAACCTTAAACCTTCGTCAAAACGAACTCCAGTGCACTCACGTTACCGCCCACAGTTACACTACCGATCGATCACCGTGCTACAAGTATATTCAACAAGTGTCTTTCTATCTGCATCACCTTGCAAATACTGTTCACCAACGTGCATGCGACCAGGTGGCGAGAATTACTCAAAACCAAGCTAACCCACATGTAGTGATATCTCGACCATTACACTCCAGCTGCTGCTGAGAGAACTACGCCCCAATCTGAACTACCGACTAAGCCTTAGTGCAAGTCGGACACAAGCTGGTGCCTACAACCACGCTTCAGCTTAGATCAAACGACTGCAACGAATACAACCCGGCAGCAGCAGTAACCGAACCTTTTGTAGACTGGCGAATGCCAGGAGACTGAGAGTAACAAGGAGATGAAGCTGAGCCGCTTAGTGGAGCGTGAGAGCATCCACGTGCATGAAGGAGGGAATGGCGAGGGAATGCCAATTTTAAGTTTATATCTGCGATTGCATGCAGAATGGGAGGTCCCGCAGCTGCAAGATAAAGGGCCAAGCTAGAGGAATGGCAGCTGGTTCGGAACAGAAGATTCCATTTTTCCCGAGAAATGATGGTAAAAAAAACACACCTCTCTCAACTGGGTGCCTTTAAACGCCGCGAAAAGCGCCGAGCAAAATGTGCAGAGGAACGTAATGCCTATGCTGGGATAGCATTTCTCTGGTTGCGGCAGAGTACTTACACTGCTTCAAGGGAATATATCTGTCGGGCGGGGCGGAATTGCGGTGTCCCATTTGGAGGCTGTGTGAGCTTGAAGAAGAAAATGAGTGAGTACCCATCGTTGTGCTGCTTTAGAAAACCCCTGATTTTCATGTTTACATTGTAGATGCTTTGCCATGCCCAATTTATAACCTATTCTGTGATGGTTTTGTAACCTTCTCTGTCATCAATGTGTTGGTTTTGTGCATGGAATGGAGCTTGGAGGCCTTAAAACATGATTCTCTAGTTGTTGCCATTGTACAACTCCTACATGTTTTCTTTATTAATGTGGTTGCTAAACTATTCACATGAACTTCAAATTGTTTTGTATGTGTTTTATGCATTTTTGGTTTGAAGTTAAGATTCAAGCAAAATAACATATCTAAATGGTATATATAATAGTCATCACACTGTAGTTTCTTGATGCAAGTAAATTGCATAGAAAAACCAAAAGCTGTTTTTGTGTAAAATAATAATTAAATGAATGTGTATTTTTACTAGTGACAAGATGTCTTGCACTTAGCTAAAATAATTTTGTTGAAAAAGACTCAAGGTTGTGATAGATTCAATGTGCAATTAAAGATTTGGGTTTGTAGTGTCTGAACTGCATGTTTCAATGTGATGGATACTCTGTCAAAAATTATTTATTTGAAAATAAATTCATAATTTATTTTATGTTTTTTGTGAGGCACAAATATTTTTTAATCCTTAGATACCCATATACAACAGAATATACAAGTTTCCCAGAACATTAAATCATTATCATGTATCATTTTATGTTTTCAAATATTTGTATTGAATTCTATTTATTGCAGAGAATGAAATGACCATCTTATCTATTTCAGTTTATTTTAGCAGCAGCATGTAGCAACAACAACAAACAGTTGTTAAAATTTCATAAACACATGATAAGGGTGACCATATATTTTGAAGTTCTTAATTTAAACACAAATAAGTAATCACTGTCTTCTCTACTATATTATAAAAGGATCAGAGTTAAGTCATTTTTGCCGAATTCCAGTACACTCATCACATCAACATACACACACATACTAAAATATAAGAGTATGAAATTTCAAAGATATGCCAATGATTTCCAAATTTTCACTTCAACTAACAAAAATGCATTTTAAAAATGAAAAAAAAGATTGTTACTTACAAACTTGATATCTTGCATTCATCAATATAATCTTTTATCATCTAAAAAGCATACTTCTACCTTTGTAATTTAAATGAATTAATTGTACAAAGAACAAATTCCCTCAAGAAAATCATTAGCAATGAGAAGAGTTTGTCGAACCTAATTCCACAAAAATTAAAAAGGGGCAAGAGGGAAGTGGTTTCCTAAGCCATAGATGAGCAGGAGAGGAAAAATAAAATAAAAATAAAAATAAAATCTATCCATCCATGAGGCACATCAGTTGGGTACATCATCCAACTAACCATTCATGAAACATGATTAGTAATCACTGCTTTCTTAAGAGCCAGTGAACCAAAAAGTAACCTCGCCTTGTACCCTAAATTTTCCAAGCAAAGAGACACAATCAGTGGCATTGCCTTCAAACTCTTTGTTCCCCAGAAATATTTTAACCCCAACTCCGCAAAGAAATAACAGATGATTAACAAAATGGAAGATCAAAGAAGAGATCTCTTGAAATGTAATGCAGAATTTAGTGGTAGCAAAAGTTTTTTCTCTTTTCTTTTAGCTCCTTTCTTTTCTTCCATGTCCACAACCCAGCACTGATATAGATGCGTAACCCAAATTCTAACTAAGTGCCACAATTATACATATAATACCAAGTTTGATGCATGCAAGTAAATGTACTAGAGAGCAGACATACTTACACACACACACACACACATGTAGAGTCCAAACTTACACATAACTAACCAACAAAAACATCATCAACAAACCCACCCCATCTCACCCAATGAAGCAAAAGCAAAAGGGGGTGTGGGAGTGGGAGGGGGGGGGGGAGGCAAAACTAGTTGACAGACCAACAGACAAAACAAAAGACAGAACTGCCCCTCTGAAGGGAGGAAGAAGAGAAGGATGATGTGGAGGAGGCTGCATGATGTTCATTCTCATGATCATTCAACAAGGCCAGGAAAGATAAAGATGGAGATGAAGCAAAAGATGGAGAAAATTTACAATAAAGAAAAGAAATAGACTAGGTTGCAGTTTTGTGCTTCCACTCCTTTGAGCACCACTAGCTTCATCAAACACCACAAACAAAGATGAATGAATGCATGCATCCATGAAAAGAAATAAGTGAATAAAAAAATGTAAGTTGTACAGAAGTCAATGGAAGGAAGAATACAACCCAAAACAAGGCAATCCAACCCTCACTCCCCTGCTCCATTTTTTTAATTTAATTTTTTTAAATATTCTTTCTCTTCTTCTTCTTCTTCTTTTTCTTCTTCTCACTTCAATCTCTTCAATCTGTCTCTCTACTTCTGAATCAATCACCACTGCCACACATCGCTGCCATCTTGCGTTATTAAAATCTGAGCCATTGTTATATACTTTTGTGGACAACAAAGAAGAGGAAGCTTGTTTTGGGCTCTGGAACATCCTCTAGTTATGGGTGGCATGTTCGAATGAGGTGAAGCAAGTGAGGGAGGTGAGGTTTTCTCCCCCTTCGTTTTCCCATTTGTTTGCTCATTAAATGAACCCAATAGCTATGGGGAGCATGTACATTCCACCAAGCCCCCAATTAAAAGTTCTAGGAGAAGGGGAGGGTGTTGCTAAACAAGGCTTCCCAAGCTCCTAAAACCATTCCCCAATAGTGAAAAGAGCAGATTCTGCCACAACCACCACCACCATGTCTCCTTTTTTGGCATGTGCCTCACTATGTGTGGATCTTTCCTCCTATGGCAGATTTTGACACATTGTTGCTTTATCATTGATAAGTAAAGTTGATGGATCCAAACCAAGAGGAGGGGGTGGGGATGGCATAGATCCATCTAATCACAAGAGTGGTTTTGATTTCATTCCCCTAATTTGACATGTGGCCCAATGTTAGGTGCTTGTGTTGAAAGGTTCAATGATGTGGGTGTGTGTGAGATTAGGGTTTAGAATTTAGGGTTTCTAGTTGCATTTCTGGGCTGATGGCTGTGGAAGAACTGTTAACACTGATGGGTGATTGTTGAGCTTGTGCAAACCATCCATATGGAGGTGACATGGCCCAAGGGCATCATTCGTCTTGATTACAAACCCCGTCAGCTTCCAAAAGGATTGGGGACATTTATTGTGTTTGCTAATTATGTAGCTACTAATTACTAGACAGCAGGTGCTGATTAATGAGGCAATTAAATAGAGGGAGAGGGAGAGAGAGAATAACTCCGTTCCACATTTATGAATGTAATTGGACTTAAGTAGAACAAATGGGTAGGTTCAACAAAATCCTTTCTCCCTATTTGCAGCTCTGTGTTCAAGCAAATTTCTATCCTTTTGGGCTGGTTTGTGTATTTGTTGATTGTCTAAATGAATATCATGTGTTCATGGACTGATTTGATTTGATTTGATTTGTGTAGTTTGTTGTTGTTGGTGTGTGTGTGTGTTTTCTTTTTCTTTATCCTTTGAATGGTATCACAAAACCCACCTATATTAATTTTGACATTCTCTGGATGACTTTTTCATGTTTTACAATATTCCATTTATTGATTTACTACGTTAATCTATTTTTTTCATTCGCAATGTCATAGATTAATACCAGGCTTTTTGTTGTGTGGTTTATGACCAGGACGGAAGTAATTTGAGAAGAATATCTACAATAAAGACAATTACTATTTTTGATGGAGTAGCATTCATCACTGCTGTTCTTCAGTGGGGCACTGGGATACTTTACAGTTTTTAGTACTTCAAGGAAATTTCATAGTCCTACATCTGTAGTAAAAACTAATTGAAACTTCTTACTCTGTGTTTATTTTTGGAAAGCGTGCAAAATCAATCTTGGAATGTTATCTAGTTATCCAAATCCCATTATGAAAGACTTATAAATTTAACTATCTAGTTGAAAGTTTCATTTGAATAAGCAATGATGTATAGAATACACATTGTTCTTAACATGCATACATGTAAACTTATAATATCAATCATAATAGTTACCACCTTTACACTAATTTAAGGAATTTATTTATTAAAGAAGAAAAGCATGATAACATATGATACTTGAGTAAACAGAAATTTCCATGGTACATAGATTTGGAATAATAAGGATAAAAAAACCATGAGAAAAAAAAATCATATTAAGAACCAATGAAAACATCATGTTTATGCTTTAAGAATAAAATCAATATGTTATTAATCTTATTTTTAAATTCCATTTTTTTTTTGTCTTCTGTATATGACACTATTTTATAAGGTTTCTAATCTATTTTTGAGTTCACATTACAGTTATTTTAGAACAGTTCTATAATGGATTAAATTGCACCTATCTCCATTTAACACAACACTTACCAGACTATTTATGCTCGTGACATTATTGTTCTCTTGATACAGGTTTTTCTTTCAAGGAACCATATGATACTCTATTTGAGACTGTAAAACTCACATAAAATTCAATAACAAACTACTAGACGCAAGACATACAAAATTTATCTAAGTTTACAGGCTCAAATGGGTGCACCTTTCAATTCAATCTGGGATAGGTTCAAAATCCAGTATTGATGGAACCCACCTTAATCTAAGTGCAAAAAGCAAGGGTAAGATCAGGGCTGTATAAAAAAAGAATAAGGAAAGATTGGATTTTGAGTGTGCAATACCCACCC